TACGTGCGTGCTGTACGTGCGTGCTGTACGTGCGTGCTGTACGTGTTGTGTTTACTGTACGTGTGTACTGTGCGTGTTTACTGTACGTGTTGCGTTTACTGTACGTGTGTACTGTACGTGTGTACTGTACGTGTTTATATATTTACATGCTCGAGTAGCTTTACACTCAAACAGTCAGTAGTGCAGAAATGCAACACCAGAGGTCAGTACTGGACAGGGGTTTGGACAACCTTTCTGCTAAAAATGTTTATGAATATTAAAATCAAAAGTAGTTTTAATACGTTGTTTTGGCCATAACTCACTTTTTAGTTTTTTTCTAGTTTACTTTTTTTTTTTTTTTAAGTCCTTATGTGTCAGGAATAGATTTATAAAACATAAATAGTTTGTGTAATTTGCCAATTAATAAGAACTTATTAACCTTGCATCATGCATAATAATTATATAATAATGTGGACAATTAGGTGGTACAGTTAAAATGTGTCTTTGTAAATATAGCATTATTTTTACAGCTGTCCGTGGAGAAGCTTTTCTGATAGTGTTTGGCGCTTACAGAAACACACACAGGTGTTGAGAGAAAACTGACTTAAAAAAATCACTTTTAGTAAATAATTTTTAATAAGGATTTATCTTAAGGTCCTTTTTATATTGTAGTCAACATTTGAAGTGGATTTGATGAAAGGTTACTTGCATGTAATTAATGCATTGTTATTTTAATTCTAAGTACATGTAGCGTGTACCAAAATAAATAGTCACCGAAGAATATTATAGAGACTTGAGTGGACACTTTTCAACACCCTTGCATTGAGGCAGCATGTTTTACACGGACAGACATCTCTGAAATCTAGTTTATTATCATGAATGTTTCACCAGTGACTTCTTCTTTGACCCCCTCAGCAGTGACGCTGTCAGGGATGATGCAGATGTGAAGATCGAGTCTAAACAAGGCTCCGTCCTGAGCGTCCAGACCCCAGACCGGACCTATCGGGTGAAGCTAGCGCCTGCGGTGAGTCTGCTGGAGACGTCGTGCCAGAGGAGTCCTGGAAACACTCAACACGGATCACACTTCAGACTGCGGCTCAAGGTGGAGCAGCCGACAGGTACACGCTGATTATTACCCATAAGCACTTTCTCACCAAACCCCAGCATCTGGAGGTCTTTACAAGAGTCGCTCTTATTTTTTGTGATCAACTTTTTATTCAGCTTTAACATGAGATGTACACTTGGCTTTGTTATATGGCAAGTAGTGTGTATATATATATATATATGTATATGTGTGTGTGTACTCTTATTTGATTCTCATTGGCTTTCCTTGAGGAATGAGTGCATGAGCTGCACACACACACACACACACACACACACACACACACCAGATTAACAGATCAGTGAAGAACAAAGCAAAGTCCAGTAATGTGACCTGCTACTCTGAGCCTGAGCTTTACTTCATGTCAGAACAACTCCGAGTCAGCTGACTCAAAACTTTTTATCCCAGAAAACCAATTTAAGTAG